GGCATCGCTACTAGGAGCAAAGGACGCTACTATGGGGGCTCCTGGCATCGCTACTAGGAGCAAAGGACGCTACTATGGGGGCTCCTGGCATCGCTACTAAGAGCAAAGGACGCTACTAGGGGCTCTTCTTGGGGCTCCTGGCATAGCAAGAAATCCTGGCATCGCTACTAGGAGCAAAGGACGCTACTAGGGGCTCCTGGCATCGCTACTAGGAGCAAAGGACGCTACTAGGGCCTCCTGGCGTCGCTACTAGGAGCAGAGGACGCTACTAGGGTCTCCTGGCATCGCGACTAGGAGCAAAGGACGCTATACTAGGGGCTCCTGGCATCGCTACTAGAAGCAAAGGACGCTACTATGGGGGCTCCTGGCATCGCTACTAGGAGCAAAGGACGCTACTATGGGGGCTCCTGGCATCGCTACTAGGAGCAAAGGACGCTACTATGGGGGCTCCTGGCATCGCTACTAGGAGCAAAGGACGTGGCATCGCTACTAGGAGCAAAGGACGCTACTATGGGGGCTCCTGGCAGATGGAAATGTTAGGCCAGAAATCTTCGCTCTCTGGCGGGGCATCGGAGGTAGAGTCAAGCGGCGAGGACGGACTGGTGGGTGAGCATGACAACTCATGAAATCAATTGTATGCGTTTTTTTGCATGGAATGTATGTTCATGTTTCAATGTTCATGGGTATGTTGACATGCAAACATGACATGGCCACATGTACATGGTACATGAAAACATGTTACATGTTCAAATAATTTTGTTGAATGCACGTGCCTGAAGACAGCGGCACTACATGTATACATCGTCCATGCTTGCCAGATACAGGAGTGGTCTGACCGCCAGCCGGAGACTCCGACTCCAAGCCAAGCTGTGTTGGAGCTTCTCAGAGCGAATACTCTGGTCCTGCCTGGCTTTCAGCTTGCGGAAGCAGGAGCTGAGAAGGCTGAGAAGCCTGCTGAGCCCACTGCGGTGCAATCACAGGTGCCAGCTGCTTGCAAAAACCAGCTTTGCAGCAGCAGCCAGTCAGGATGGATGCGGCTGTTTACACGTCGAAAAACTACTCCAAGGAATGGAAATTCCTGAGCCTTGTTTTTCCTCGGGACCAAAGGCTCAAGAGTGCTCTCAAGAGTTCCCAGAACTTGCCAAGGCATTTAGCTCCGGCAACAAGCAGCAGCAGCGTGAAGTCCTGCAGAAGTATATCGAGAATGGCCATAGCCTGGAATCTGTGGAGGCTTCGTTTGTTGCCACACATGAATTGAGTGAAGTTGGACACAAGAAGCGAAAGCTTCTTATGGTGAAGCAGATGACAAACATGGGATGCAGCAAGATCCATGTCTTGGCTGATTTCTTTGTAATGTAATGACATGTGCTGACATGTCATTGTCCTTTGTTGTGGGTGAGCATGTCTTCTGTTTGGAGCCACTAGGGCGTCAAGCTGAGGCCGAAGATCATGGGATGTGTAGCTCGAGGGGGGGGGCCAAACGACGATGCACCACTTGACCCTGAGTCCATGAGATATTGGGCGACAGTTGATGTGGAGAAGGATGACTATGAATCGCAAACTCTCCGCTCTTCGGTTCAAGGTGCTGTCCGTCCAAAGGATGCAGTGCGAGCCCTTCAGCAAGGTGTGAATACTCCTACTGCAAGCCAACCTGTTCCAGACCCAGCGCAGTTGGTGAACCAACATGGCGAGCGCTATGAGCCTGCTTTCTGGTGCTGATCCTGCCCCTAGCAACATGCCTGTGCCAAAGCATGTCTTGGTGGCTGAATATGTGTGCATGCATGACAGTGTCGTGCGACCTATTCTTTTGCTGGGAGGCTCCCTTGATCAGGTGCTGCTGGCAAGGGCAAGGCAAAGGCTGCCCCCAAGAATGCAGCTGGACCGCTTTCTGCAGTGGCACTTGCGGGGAAAACGTTGGCTGAGAAGGGTGCCTTGGCCCGCTCCGCTCTTAGATAAATTGAGAACAAATTGGATTGAAAATGGCTTTGCAATTCCCAGGCAGTGAAGAAGAAACTGAATGCTCTCAGTTTCCTGGCGCTGGACCTGAGCACCCATGCTCGCTTTGAATCGAGGTGCAATGACTTGAACCGCTACCATGGTCAGCTGAAGGCTTTGTTTACGAGGCCATGTTTGAAAGATTGAATTGAAACATATCCTTCTGTTAGCAATGGCCAGGCTTGAGGTAGAGAAAAAGAATGAAGTCTCCTTCAATACGCTGAAGGATGAGAGTTTCCCATGTTACTTTGTTTTCCAAAGAGCCCTTAGGTTGCAGATGGTTGCAGATTGCCGTTTCAAACGCGCGGAGCTCTCGGCTGTTCTCTGGCAATTCTTCCAGTGAGACAAAACTATCTAGTAGTAGTCGATTTCTTGTTTTGCCAGGGGCTATGCTCGGCAGTGATTGGCTGATGAGACCGCTGAGATTCTGTTTGCGTCATGAGCATTGGAAGTGAACGCTATAGAGCATAGATAGATTGAGCGTTTGCACATGTCTAGACAGACGGTGCTGCTATTGGTGAATCTGAAGGGGATTCTGGTTGCGTCAGCTTACCAAAATTCTGGCCAACATGGTTGCAAAAATGTCTAGATTTGTAGCCATGCATGTCTTCTGGGGTTTGGGAGTGCTTCAGGCTTGTGTGTGTGAGAGGGCGTTTGACTTTGCAAATACCTTTTTCGGTGAGGTACTGCTGCCTCGGCGTCTGGAGCAGGATCGTTGAGAAGAACATGGATGAGAGGTCTGATGTTGATACAAGCAAGATACACTGTTAGACCTTTTGTGTTCACTGCTTGTGAGGATTGCAGGGGAAGTTGGACTAGGTCGTTGTACAATAGCTGCTGCAAATCGGATTGCTCAACTCTATCGGTCTGCATTATTTGGGCAACTTTGATGTAAATGGATTGCTGTGGGATTGTTTGATGTAAACCATCTGTCTTTTGTTCTAATATTGCCTGATTGGGGCTCCGAGCAAATGACAGGACTTAAAGACAGCTTTGCGAAGCAGGATGTCATCAACTACATCCAGCTACCGCTTCAGATGGAGGAATGCAATATCAGAGTGGGCCAGTGATACTACCACCCGCCTTTGAGTCTAATATAGTCTAATGCTCTCCTCATGGTGTTTGAAAACATCCATGACCTGCATGGGGCCCAGGCAGATGTGCTCCTAGCCATGCTTCTTGTTCCTAGTAGCGATGCCAGGAGCCCCTAGTAGCTTCTTGTTACTACTAGTAAGGCACCTGTTACTAGTAGCGTGGCACTTGTTCCTAGTAGCCTCTTGTTACTACTAGTAAGGCACTTGTTACTAGAAGCGATGCACTTGTTCCTACCAGCAATCCTGCAGCAATTACAACATGGTAATGAGAAGCCAAGACCATGTGGAGCCGATGCCATTGGTCTTGTACTTTATTGTGATGAGTGTCAAGTTTGGGAGGGAGTTCAACTCCTTTCTTTGTGCTGGATGTTGGAAGCCAGTCCCTATTTGACTGAGCCACACGCTTTCTGATAGCCTGCATACCGGCCACTGCTTGTGTCATTGATCATGACGGTTGCAATTTGACCTTGCAATCATTGCTGCAGTGCGTCGAGCAGTCTTTGAACCATTGGTTTGCATCAGGTGTTCGAGGTCTTTATGCTGCTACTGTTTTGTACAAAGGGAGATTGGAAGTATCTTATTATTCATATTAAAGAAGCCTTCAACTTGCGGAAGCATTATGGCTGCAAGGACAAGATCTGCGGTTTGTGTGAAGCTTCCAAGCAATTGGAAACGTCAATGACTGATGTGTCTGATGGTGCCCTGTGGCGATTCCAAGTTCCGAGCCCCCCCGTAGTACAGGGAACCAGCCCTGTTAGAAAACATCAACGCGAAAGCCTTTTGAGCAAATCGAGGCGGCCCTTATTGAATGTGGATGTGGCAGAACATGCGGTGTTGCCCGGCGCTCCACCATAAGGGAAGCACGTGCCCTCCCGCCACATAGGGGCAGCTGCCCAGTTGACACCCGGGTCAAGAGTGCACGGCGAGCCCAAGCTTGTAGACACAGCCACCAAATCCTTGGGCTCGCTGTTCAGGACACGGAAACAAAGCAAAATGTTCCTAAGCAGAACGTTCACCCGCAGCGCAA